CGTCTACAGAGCATCAATATCAATTCCAACACGACAGTCCCTGCCATCACAGTTTTAAAGGCTAAAGTCACCTGAACGAAATTTGCTGAACCATCATTGACAGTTAGAAACGTTCAAAACATTTCCATAAACTTCTTTGATATTCTTTGTGGCTACAGAGGCGTTGTTTCCCTTCTAGTATGCAAACAGCATTACATACCGAATGTGTGTCTCGTTGTGTGCCGTCACAATCAGAGATTAGAGTATACTAAACTTTACATATTGTATATGCTACGCTAACGTGAGGCAGCTCGTTTAACTATTATAAGTGGTGTACGTTTTTTGCTGGATAGTTAATAAAAGTGTTCCAAAACGCGACATTAATTTCTTGACGACTTAATATTTTAGGCAAGATTAGAATAAATTAATCCATGAGGCCTTAGGCGTGATGAAATACATCAATAGAAAGGTTTTAACCTCCTTAATCCAAAACTGTGATTAGATTTCATTTCGGTCAAGAGATGACGGTACTATGAGCTAAAAGTTTGTACTTGATAAGAAAACAAAACTAAAATATCATAGCCACTTTATCAGCCGCTATGCCGCGACTAAAAAAAAGACGTAGTCTATAATATTACATTCATGCATAAAAAAAAATAGAATAACGAATTATTAATCCAAAACAAAGAGGGATATTTTCTCTTTTATATTTTAAATTTAAAATGTACTTATTTTTTATCTCGAATTGCTCATATTAATAGTACAATATATTATGACGTGTAGTCGATAGCAGCCAATGTCGTTTGACGAGAATTAGCATAAAGAATGGTAGAACGTCTTTATTCCGAATGAATTATGATTAATGCTCTCCTGAATTTTTCCAACATATTTTCATTGTTGTAGTGCGCATGTGCAAGCGTTGAGCAGTACCAACACATGTTTCTCAGTGTCTTGCGTTTCGGGTTTCAGCGTGTTGTGAGTGATCTTGCATATAGAACTAGCGTGGTATCTGATCATGGTTAAGCTTAGCACGCATTAATCGTTTTATACACTATAAATAACAATTTAAAAAGTCACATTTGTTTCACAGTTTACACTGATTTATCTTAGATGCTGTGATATCCAAAGATTACTAATCAAATTGAATTGTTTAACAAATGACAAGTTGTTTTCCACATGTGCACAGTTTTCGTTTTTCACCGTTGTACGTGCAAGTTTTTACCTTATTTAACCAAAAAGTATGTAGAAGACCATCTTTTAAAGAAACAGTGTCATTAAAAAATTATTGCAATTTTGTACAAGACCTTGGTGAATTCTCATTGGTTTGTTTGTTTGTGTTAGAGCAAAGCCACATTGTGTTATCCATTGTGTCCAACGCGGGGATCGAATCCTGTAAATTAGCTTCGTAAGTCCCACCGGGCGACGAAGTCTCATTAAACTGGAGTACTTCACTTAGTTTTGTACTTATTCTACACTAAGTTACAACAACTTGTTAAAAAAAAATAAAGAGATGAGCTACCAATACTAGAACGATCACTGGTTTAAAATAACTTCATCTGTGATTAGAGTCTTAGACTTTTCTCTAAAGCATAGAAGAATTAGAGAAGAAATTACAGGAGACTTTATTTATGTAAAAGGGCGAACCGTGGCACAGTGGATAGTGTACCAGACTGTGGATTCATGGCTCCAACTCTGTTACCGTCGGAAAAAAATCGTGTTCTGCACGTTGGATTCGTTGGTGCGTTATA